ATCGTTGTATAGGCAAATGTATAAGGAATTTTATGCTAAGATAATATATAGGATGTTGCATTTGAAAAAAACAGTAAATTAAAATTAAACTTAGCCATATTTAAGACATGTTTCAATACACTCTGTATAAAATAAACCAATTTTACCACCACTATTTGTTAGCTTAGTATCTTATAAGTAAACTTACTTATATTATGATAATTTAATTTGGGGTCTGCATCATTCTCTAATTTAAATAAAAATTAATTGCTTGGCAATACTGTAATATTTTTTAAAAACATTCTAGTGTTAAATATAGTATTACCAAATCATTCTAAAAATAAAATACAGGGTGTTATATTTAAAAAACATATATTTTTATTTGCCAGGCAAAAAGTATTTTTAAAATATGTATTTTTTCAATCCATATAATTTTTTTTCGAAACTTGTTTGCTTGTTTACAATACAAATTGAAATATTGAACGCACTAATGGGACACCCTGTATTTTAAAAAAATTTATGCACAGCGCAATATACAGGGTATCCCAAATTCAAAGGTGACCATTAGGATTTCGGAAACTATATGATATAAAGGCTCGATTAAATTAGGACAAAGCTGCGCATTTTTTATTTATTTTCATATTTTATGTATAATAAAAACTTTTTTTAAAAACAAGGTTTCGTAGATTGTAATAACTGGTGCGCATTGTATATTGTAATTGATATGTCCTTTAATTTTTAGACAAAAAAAAATGCTCAGAAGAAACCATGGTCATCCCAGGGACATAAAGATGTACTAGAAATATTATTTCAAGCACGATTGGCCGTCCAAAATTAACGAAGAAGAACAAATGAACAGCATTATTTTAGAAAACAATATGACACAATTAAAATAGGTAGACTTAAAAAAGTTATTAAAAAAAAATTGACTGAAAAAGATCCGATAACATTTGTAGTACCTTACGAACAATTTTATGACTAATGGAATGTCACATATCTACGGGACATGGAGGTAGAGACAAAATGAAATCTGCGTTAAGACCAAAATTTTTGATTATTAAAATATCTGTGAAGTGCTGTACCCGTTGCGCTGAAAAACAAGGACAACCTCAAAAAGTATTAGTAGTAAAGCCTATTTTGTCCAAAGATTGGAATCATCGCAAGCAAGTTGATCTTATTGACTAACAATCAACGCCAGACAGGGAATTTAAATGGTTACTGAACTATCAAGAGCACCTCACCAAATTTGTTCACCTAAGACCACTAAAACGCAAACGGGCGGAAGACGTTGCTCATGAGCTTCTAAATTTTTTTTTAGAATTTGGAGCCCCGAAAATTTTACAAAGTGACAATGGACGTGAATTCGTCAATCATATAATTAAAGAGATGATGTCAAAATGGCCAGCTTGTAAAATAATAGATGGTCGCCCGAGACACCCCCAGAGTCAAGAAAATGTTGAAAGAAGCAATCAAGATATTGAGAATATGTTGAGAGCTTGGATTCATGATAATAATACTGTATTGAACCTTATTTTCATTTCTATTTTATTACTCATCTTAAATCATTTCAGGGTTTGCAACACCGAGATTTCCGATTTAATCTCAAATATACTTTATTTCCATAATTCTGAGGAACCCGGTATGCAAACGTTGAAATGATATCGTCGCGCGCCGGACGGTCTGATAAGAGCATTCATGGTTCTGAGACCACAGGCAGAGACAATCCAGCGAGACGTGTAACTCAATGTATTTTTTTTGTTCGGTAAAAGTTATTTGGGTGATTGTAACCACAACCAGTCTATGATGTCGCCACTAGTAAATGGCGGGAAAATTAAAAATGCTTTAGGGCGGGAAATAAGTGCCATTTGAACAAATGTCGCTTACGTTAGTCTGGAAAAAAGGTACCGATATGTTATGACTGTTTATTTTAATAGAAACCATGGAAACGAAACAAACACACACATACACTCAACACAAATGTATAAGGCCTGAGTCGAGTAAGTTCCCATCCTATAAACTGGATCGAAACCTGCTAGACCCATTCCGTACACCCCCTGCTAACTCCTCTTCGGGTCATCAAGATCAATAGATTTATATGCCATGCCTTCTAAAAGGGATTGAAGGATGACATACTATCATCATTTAAACAGGATATTGCTGAAGGATTACCCCTGTTATTTCGTTTGTTTGTGTATCTTGTGCGTGTGCATTCCTGTTGTGTCCCCAGTCATGTAAAAGTTTTTCTAGTCTCCTAATTTGGTTACTAGGTGGACCTTCTCCAACTAGTAGTCTAATCTATTCCATCTGTTCTGCAGCAGAAGGTACTTCTCAAACATAGCAAATAATATTATTAATAATAAACACTATTTAAAGATGAATACATTTTTGTAATTTTTTGCCGTTATCCCTTACCAGGGTATACTTATTTTCTATACTGCCTTAATTATAGATTACCTTACAATATTTGAATGAATATAACATTTTATCCATGAAAAATCTAATTTCGAATTTAACTCTTCTTTAATTTCATTTAAACCAATTGTTATATTTCAATTTATTATCAAGGAAATCTTCTAACAAAGTTATAGCAGATCCTACTTAAACTACTGGTTGTTCTGCAGGATAAATTACCTTTTCTTGAGATTGATCTCTTTCTAAAATCCATAACCTTATGTATCCTGATTTAAAATTGTGCCCTTTTGTGATCCAATTTTTTTCTTCGTTTAAATGACTACAATCTTCTAATAGCCACTCTAATCATTTAAAAAGTACATTTTACTTCTTTTCTAGTAGGTGGGAACTTTGAGCTGCCATTAAAGATGTCGATACATTCATCTACATACTTAATGAAAAAAAGTAGCTGTAGCAATGGAACTCTGTTCCAATTCACGTAAAATAATTATAGTCATTTTGTAATATATTAATAAACACACACATTATACAGTGGTTTTCTAAATAAATTGGAAATTACTTACCTCTAGAAAGAAACGTGTACAAAAACGCGAGTTTGGTTTCAAAAAATGCAAAAAATAATATGCGAAAATAAACATTCCCCCCCCCCCCAAAGAAAATTAATTAAACAACAAAATCAGACTCAAAGAAATAAACGGGGCCCAAATTAAATTAATTTTAATACAATGCACACGTTCATAACAACATTCATATAACATTGTCAATTGTCAGTTCTAATCTATACGTCGACGTCAAGAAACCAGCAACATCACCGACCTCTAATAATGGTGTTAGTTTTATTGGAGAGAGATAAATATATTTAAAGATCAATGTAAAAGAGAAAGAAAGTCATATATGTAATTTAAATGGACCACCAAACAAATTTTTCTATTAAGTTACACGTCTCTGTTGTCTCTGATACTAATGACTGATCTAGCCTGTTTTGAGTTTAACAATACCTGCATGATCTCTCTATGGCACATTTGTTATTCACAAAATTCCCTTTCTGATGTTTCGCTAAAAATCTTTTAATCCTGATCCTATCCTGCATTTGAGTTTTGCCTCGCGGAAAATTGAAGCGATAACAATAAAAACGTTAAATAAAACGTTGGATATACTCTCACACTCACATTGAAACACACTTTTGTACTCTGGCGAGAATTAAATAAATATACATCATACAAAAATGTCAGGTGGTCGTGTTAAACATGCTCGGGTAAGTTTAATCGCATCTGCTGTTGTTGTTTTGTTTTCGACAACATTGGTATAAACTTTAAAGCATTTAATTGTCATGGTTCATTTGTTTTTTTAAATTTTAACAAAACAAAAAAAAAATAAAATATAAATAGAAGCGAAATGCATTTCAGTTAATTACAAAATTTTTAGGAGTCTATTAATTTAATTTGCACAACGTAGTACAGGTTCAAGAGGTAAAAATTTTATTTATACCTCATCCTTCAATGCTTATTTGTAGTTAAAATAAAAGTTTTATTACATGTGACTGGCCTAATAAAAGTTTTCGTTTAGATTTAATCATGCTTCCATGGTTTTTACTCTAATAAACCTTTTCTTTTAACAGATAAGTCAGACTTTATTTATTCATAGCCGTATTTTAATTGATTTGGAATTTGGTATTAGTATATAATATTATAATTTTACAGTTATATAAAAATGGCTAGTGTATTAAAAATTATTGCAAGCACAAGTACGCGTAAACGACATAGTGGCCATTAAGCATTATCTATAGACGAAAAAAATATCGTACTTAATGTATTTAGTAATTTTTGAAAATACTTTGTTTCACTTTCTGTGGATGAAATAGTCACTAATTGTGCGACCTATTCTGGAGTTTAAGAAGATACAGTTATTAGATAAACGCCCTCCAGGAAGAAACAAGATCTTTACTATGGTAAAGAATATAATAAGGCAAATGCTACATTTTTCTTTCGAAATGAAATTCCTACACTCAAAAAATTACACTTCAAAATAGAAAATGTATCATATTTTCATCTGCAAAAAATATTACCTACATAAAATAAATTTTTGTAACAAAATAATAATATGTGACAAAAACAGCTTTTCAACAGAAAATAATAATTAATAATAATAATAATAATAATAATAATAATAATAATAATAATAATAATAATAATAATAATAATAATAATAATAATAATAATAATAATAATATAATAATAATAATAATAATAATAATAATAATAATAATAATAATAATAATAATAATAATAATAATAATAATAATAATAATAATAATAATAATAATAATAATAATAATAATAATAATAATAATAATAATAATAATAATAATAATAATAATAATAATAATAATAATAATAATAATAATAATAATAATAATAATAATAATAATAATAATAATAATAATAATAATAATAATAATAATAATAATAATAATAATAATAATAATAATAATAATAATAATAATAATAATAATAATAATAATAATAATAATAATAATAAAAATAATAATATACCCCGCAACAATATAGAAAACAACAACGAAGCGGACCACGATATAAATTCTGAAAGCTGAAGACCTAAATGTCACCAAGAATCGTCGATTAAAATGGAGCAGAGAGATGAACCAAGAAATAGTTAAAACATTTCTGCTAATTAACGACTGTAGAGATGATCCGCTTCCAGGATGGAGACAAAAATTACACAAGGAAATTAATAAGCTGTACCCAAACTTAGAACTATCTGAACAAAATACTGCCGATAGACTGCGTGCTATATACTCTAGAAAACTGTTATCAGTATTAGATATAGATAAACTGCGCCGTGAAGCTGGCAACCAAATATATAACCAGCAAATTAAAGAAAGTGTTCAAACCAATATGCAAGAAGAATTACCGGAAACAGAACATCAAGAGCAAATTCACAAAATAAACCAAAAATTTGAAGAAAATTTTGAGCTCTTCGAAAACACAAATCCCGAAATCGACCATGCCTACCACAATTGATTAAAAATAAATAAATATTGCACTAAACTGTAAATTATTAAACGAGAATAATTTACAAAGAATTAATACAGGCATCTACACAGCAGCGATTTCAGTCATAGAACTCAACGAACAAATTCCTTACATACCAAAATTCAAATCAAACCAAAAAATGACTCCAGAAATACCGTGGAGGAAGCGACTGAAAAAAAACATAGATAAACTTAGAAGCCAAGTTGATACCATAACAGAATATTTACAAGGTAATAGAAATCACAAACTCTTATTCAAAATATATTGGACAAATCTAACATAGAGAAAAACAAAGATACCAGGGAAACCGAATTAATAAAGCTTCGAGATGAACTGCGACAAAAGTTAAAAATAAAAGGAACTAGAAGATATAACACCACCACTAAGAGAAAGGAACAAAACCGAAATTTCCAGAGAAATCAAAAATTATTTTACCGCACACTAGAACAAAAATAGAAAATAAGGAAGACACGTCAGTAAACAACGAAGCATTTCGGGAGTATTGGAGCAATATATGGTCAACTTCAGCCAACCACAACCAAAACACAAGGTGGTTAAAACAGGTGGAAAAAGAAATGGAACACTTACCTGAAATGGCCAGACTATACATAAGGGAAACTGATATCAAGGCATCGCTGAAAAACCTTTCAAACTGGAAAAGCCCTGGTCCGGATCAAATCCACAATTTTTGGCTCAAAGCATTTCTTTGCTTACCACCGATATTAACAAAATGTTATCAACGTATACTGGAAGATCCCACACAAGTGCCTACTTATCTTACAGAAGGCAACACCTATCTTATACACAAGAAGGGAGACAGAACAGACCCAAAAAACTATCGACCCATTACATGTCTATCCGTAATGTATAACTTGTCAACATCGGTGATATATTCCAAGATCTACGAACATTGCGATTCCCATTCCATAATAGCCCCAGAGCAAAAAGGATGTAAAGAACAAATTCTTCTTGACTCCATTGTAACCAATCAAGCAAGGGTTAAAAAACGCAATCTAAGTGTATGCTATATCGACTATGCAAAAGCATTTGACTCCGTGCCCCACGATTGGCTTGAAAAAGTCCTGGAAATCTATAAAATTGACCCTAGCATCAGATTGCTACTAAGTTTCTTGATGAAACAGTGGAGGACCAACTTAAATGTAAACGGTGAGAAAGTAGGACAGGTCCAAATGAACAGAGGGATTCGCTTAGCCCATTATGGTTTATCTTAGCACTACCAATATCATTCCTACTGCGTAACACCAACTATGGCTACCGTCCATCGATACAAAGCAACATCAAGCTAAGCCATTTGATGTTCGTCGATGATATAAAACTTTATGCTGAAAATAAACAGCACTTAAATATATTGATCCAAACAACCAAAAAGTTTAGCGATGATATCAAAATGACATTTGGATTAGAGAAAATTTTCAGTCTCTGGTTCAACCCAAGGTTATTTGCGCTGTCAATGTAACAAGGGTTGCTCGAATAAAAAGTGTAAATGTCTTGCGTCTGGATATACGTGTAACAGCAAGTGCCACAACAGTGCACCTTGCTCCAATAAATAATAATTTTCTTTGTTTTGTGATTGCAATGTTTTAAAGTTTTTTAATAATATTTTGTCAGACCAAACCAAAAATAAGTTTTTTTTACGTCATTTTTATTTCTTTACTTAGTTTTTAGTAGTAATAGCAATGTTATACCTATAAATAAACTTTATTTTTTTCAAAAATTATTTTATTATTCTAAACTAAATTAATTAAAGAGGATTGGTTAGTTTACATACTAACCAACGAGCTGGTTATTATGTATTACTACGAATATTAAATTCACACTTTATCCAAATACCATGGATAGTTTATAAACTAGCCAAAAATACCGGTTAATTTGTGTACTTTTCTTGTAGTTTGTAGTTTGACGATAAATATTGTATAGTTTGTAAACTAGCTGGTTAGTATACAAACGAACCAATATGCATAGCTATTTTATTAGAAATATGATTTTCCATCAAAATAGCAGGACATTTGGATAGTTTGCATACTATACAGCTAGTCTATAAACTAGCCAAGTAAACACTTTAACCGTAACATATACATCCATGAAACAAAATAAATATAACATAACGTAAATTGTTGTTCGTCTAATTTATTGTTAATAAATTTTGGTTGGGCCGAATATATCTTTGCTTAAAAATATTTGCAGTAAATTGATAATATTATAAATTCTACTTGGATCGCACCGTAATATGCCGAAACTGGTAAGTAATTAACAAAATAGCAATCAGTTTCCATTTGATGAGTGTATTTAATTAAAACGTTGCCCCATTGATATGCACGGTCTGTAAATTATAAATGATTAGCAGTTAATGAAAATTCGGAAGTGTTCAAAGGTAAATACAGTAAAACGATGCTTAATAATTAAATTTGGTTGGTGTACAAAAAAAAAGTTTAATCATTTTAATAAGGTTTTTCATTATATTTTCAATAAATAGGACTTAAAATTTTGACGTATTATAGCTAATTCGTCACAAATAAATATTAATCTCATTCCACTAAAATATTTTTCAAAACCATCAGTAATTTATTTGTGATAAACATTTGTATATTTCCAAACAAATTATTGTCACTATCAACAAATCAACCAATCCTTTGACTCTTTCAATATGGATCATAATCCATGCTAGCAGTCAATGAAGACACACTATTTTAAAAATTTCAATTGTAATACAAAAGTTTTCAAACTTTGAAAGAACAGTCGACTGGTTTAAATAACATTAAATTTAAATTTGCATCCATTTCCAAGGTCCGGAATTAGTTATTTTATGGCGATATGGCATTTTTGTTTATAATTTTGAGAAAAAAATTACAAAAGTGCTTACAAATTGGATGTTTTCAACATTGTATCAGGTTTGAAACTTTTTTGAAAGTCCGCAACATGGTTAGTTTTTTGAAAAATAGCGTTTTTGTTAATAGCAAAGTGCTGCAAACATAAATCAAACATAACTTGGTGTCCCCTACCTAATATAACCAACCTTCTATATAAACTAGGAAGGTGTCAATATTTCACAACGTTATATCTTTCAAGCGTCTTTCACCAAATATACATTTAGGAACAAGATATTGAAAATACCGCATTTAGTACAGAGCAGGTGTTACGTGAAATTAATATAAATTAATTTTTCAAATTTATTTTTAACAACTTCTCCATAACCCCTCGTAACACAAGTTAAACGACCACCGCTCGCTTCCTTCTCGTGATTTGTAAAGTACAATTTGCGCACGGTCCATAGTGTTTCTTTGAACAATCACGTTGAGATAAAACCAAGTCGTGTGGATTCAACCAGCCTTTTGGTTTATCGAGTTCAATGTGGTAGTTTGTGCCGATAAATAGCTACTATAAGTAGATTTTCGTAGTTATCTTGTCTTTTATCTGTGTTTATTGTGTGTTAACGTTGGGATAATTGTCCGGTAATGTTTCTCCCAACTTATATTTTAACATTTTGCTGGAATTCGTTGGAAAACCGAAAGAATCGGCCATTTGCTTTTTTTTATTATCATCATGCTGACGAGTGCCGGTTATTATTACTATTTTATTTTATATAGATTATAGCTACCCTACCTAATAATATTTTTAGGCTTTCTTTGACACTTTGATATATAAGTGGGGAGGCAACTAAATAATTGAATTACAAGTCAGTCTGGAAATACAGTTTAAATGAAAATCAATGGCTCCTAACTTGTTTTGGCCTTATTAATAATTTATATTTTGTTCAGATGGTGTAACTTTAATATTTGTCCTGATATTTTATATTCTGTTCAGACGATGTAACTTTAATATTTGTTCCGTTAGATTTCCAAACTGGCCTGTAGTTGTAGTATTACTGTTACTGAGGTTCTTTTTATTTCTAAACCTGTAGTGGCTCCAAGAAGTCCGAGTTATGTAGTTGCTCCTAGAAGATTTAAGCTACAAGAAACTCTAAGCTTTAAAGTCCAAGCTTTAAGCTCCAAGAAACTCCAAGCTCCAAGTTCGAGTTATCTAGTTTCTCCAAGAAGCTCAGAGTTACGTAGTTTCTCCCAGTTTCAAGTTCCAAGTGTGAGCTCCAAGCTCCAAGTATAAGTTCCAAAGGCAGATTGTCCACGACATACGACAGGGAAGTACCGTATTAGAATGCCACATGGTCGAGACAATTAAACATTTTATCTATCAGTCAATTTTATTTATTCATTTATTTAAATTTAATCATCTACTATTAATTTATTATGTAAAAATTTATTTTTTTACTGTTTTTTTATTAAATGTAATTAATTTTCTTAATTTCTTTTATTTGCCAGAACTCATACAGATAACTTTAAGTACCAGAAACTAATTCAATTGAACAGGATATATCAAATCAGATAAGTTTTCCTAGTTACTCAAAAACTTGGTGGCGCTCAACATTTGTTTGTCGTTATCATATTATAGTATCTTTCATTTTATCGTTAAGTAGACTTTGGCCTGCAAAGCGGTCAAGCTACTCTGATTTTATTTGTTGTTGTCAATTTATGAATCTACGCAGTATCAGCAATTTGAGCCAAATCACCTCCCTTAAATACAATTGACATCGTAGAAATCAAAAAAGAAGATGACACAGGGACACTATAAATATCTTAGGATGCCTTTTGGGTAAAATACGCCCCTGCTACATTTCAGCGTGCGTCCAAAACAAAAAAATATTTAACATATTTAGACAAAATAGTAGTATTTTCAACCTGTTTACAAGAACATTTAGATAGACTTAGATGCGTTTTTTAAAGACTGCGATTTAAACTTTAAAATCCAGTTAGATAAATCGGAATTCTTGCGAAAAGAAGTGGCATACTTGAGCCACATCTTAATACCTTAAGTACGCTTAAATCCGGATAATATAATAGCCATCAAAAATTTTCCTATACCAAAAACCACCAAACAAATAAAAGTATTTCTGAGACTATTGGGTTATTACCGTA